GGCACTTAACAACAACTAACAACTTCTGTTGGTATCTTTATTTTATGTCTATAATAATAATAAATGATATTTTTAGAAAATTTGGAAAGCATTAAGATTCAATATGAAGATATCTTATGATACTACAGAAGGATAACCACTGTTAACATTTTGGCGTACAGGTAATCCTTGAGTTATGAATGTCTCACAGACATCAACTACATGCCCTTTAATGCTATATAAATTTGCCCTCGCTTTTAAAAGATTGAACCAACACCTACTCACCACAAATTCCTCATCACAATCACCTTCACTTGCTGCACATGTAGCTTTTAAATCATTGAAAAGGCTTCCAACCCTTTCTTGCACTAAAAACAAAACCAAATCCACTGTTGGTTTATGAGTTGATTCCAACTCATAGCTACTCTATAGGACATAGTAGAGCTGCCCCAGAGGGTGTCCAGGCTATAAATCTTTATGGAAGCAGACTGCTTCATCTTTCTCCTGCAGAGAAGCTAGTAGATTTGAATCACCAACATTTTGGTTAGCAACCCAATGCTTTAACCACAGTGCCATCAGAGCTCCTTCTTGCATGACAAAATAAACAAAACCTCACTGCTGTCAAGTCGGATCATAGTGACTCCTCCTTGGGTTTCCCAGGCTATATCACTACAGCAGTAGATTGCTCAACCTTCCTTCCAAGGAGTGGGTGGTGGGTTTGAATCGACAGCCTTCTGGTTAGCAGTCAAATGCCTTAGACACTATGCCACCAGAGTGCCCTTTTGCACTAAAGTAAGGCTAGATAAGAATTATACTCACATGTTCCAATTTACCTACAAATTCTTAAAGACACAGGAACAAATCTTGTTTGTAACCCAGGGACTGCTATATTTTATAAGACTAATTTCTACATAGATGGGCTCAAACTTCATAAACAATTTTGCTATATTATACACATTATCCTATATCCTGAAATTCTCTTAAATTCTTTCAGTATGTGAAATATTCTTCTATATGGAATTGCTAACTTTTGCTTAATCATTTTTCAATTGATTGTTTTCCTTTTAGAGTGATTCCTCTGTTGTTTTCTTCTTTAAAATACACTGTGATGGATATCTCTATGCATAAATAATTGTCTGTGTCTGTAAATTTTTCCTTAAGAAGGAATCCAGAAGGTGAATTACAGATTAAAAGACATGATCACTGTGGTAGTTCAGTATGTGTGTCAACTTGGCTGGGTCTGGTTGCGTGGCTGGGCAGCTGGATGTAGTATTCACCATGATGAGACTGGAATCAATTCCATGGTGGGATCTACTGTGAGCAGCTGAGTAGCTGCTGTAGGGAATGTGTCTGCCTCCTGTATATAAGCAGAAGCTTTAGGGAAGGGTCTCTAGCTTATGGCACACTCAGACCCTGCATGTAGCCGTGTCGTTGTTCAGCAGCCTGCCATGCTCTGCCAACCTTGGGACTTACAATGGGCTTGAATTAATGGCCTGCCGTGTGTTTTGGTAACATGGGGACTGTGCCATTTTATTTATTGACCTTGCACTTGTTAGTCTGAGCAGTCAGTAGCTGCCTGAGTGAAGAGATGCCTCTAGCTCCAGTGGGCCTGGAGCAAGGGGTAGAGCTGGGCCCCAAGGTCGAGGGGCTTTCACCTAGCCCCCAGAGCCTAGCACTTTGAACTTGGACTTAAAGCCTCCAAACTGTGAGAGAATAAACTCCTGTTTGTTCAAGCCATCCCACTTGTGGTATATTCCTGTCAGAGCAGCAGTAGGTAACCAGAACAGTCACTTTTAAGACTCAGCATTTCCTCCAATGTCCTTTTCTTTACTGATCTCAAGGCAAGAGTTCAAGCCCTTAAGGGAGTTAAAGGAATTCCAAAAATGGACATGTTCTTTAAAAATTCTTGCCCTCTTCTTAACACTCTTCTGTGTGGGTGCAGATATGTATGTGTGTGTGTGTGTGTGTGTATTTGTATGTATCTCAGGAAGATGCACACAGTCATCCACAAATACCCTCACTCCCTTGTAAGAGGCATTCTATGACCACCTCTCGCTGGTACTTACCCAGTGACTGCCATTGAGTCAATCCTGACTCATAGCAACCCTATAGGGCACATAGAATTGCCCCATAGAGTTTCTAAGGCTATAAATCTATATGGAAGCAAACTGTTAAATCTGTCTCCTGTGGAGCAGCTGATGGATTCCAACCACTGACATTCTAGTTAGCAGCTGAAAACTTAACCACTGGACCACCAGGGCTCCTCTGGTATTTACAGTGGGTTGTATTTGTTGAATTGATATTGTGGTTGTTTTATTCATTTCTGTGTTCCTGGTGCCTTGTATATGGTAGGATATTTCTTGAATGAAAAATAGAGAAGAATAACAAGCACATTAAATAATTTACGTTTACCTTTTTTTAATATCATGTTTTGTTTGTTTTCAGCATTCAGCAAGACATGGTGGTGAACCCTGGGTCTAAGTCTTCATGATTGAAGCACTCTTGTGCATAACACAAAGGTAAATATTTGAGGCTGGCTGAATCTTGCTGGTATGTGGAAAATCTTTCTCCAATTTGAAAATTGCTCACAAATATGTCTAGGTTCTCTTGAAGTTAGGGTGTCTGTGCCTTGTGTTCGTTCTTAAAACACCATAGAGGCTTCATTGAACCTTTGGGAATTGGTGCTTAGGTGGCTTCTCTCGACCACTTCGTGTTTGTGAGTGGTAAAAGGGAATATTGATTCTCTCTCTTCTTTTCTATAAGTATGTAGTAAATGTTATTAGGAGCTGTAAGTTTTCCTGTCCAGATTTTAAGCTTTTCTAATAGATTGTCTCAGACTCATTTGATTTTAAACCCTACTGTGTTAAGCTTTTCTCAAAAGCCACACTTTCAATATATTTACTGACAGAAGAAACCATTCTCAATTGTGAAACTAAAATCAAACTATATGTAAGATAAGTGTTTCTATATAGGAAACAGACTTGAAGATTTATGAGCTTAAGGAGCAGGTACTATTATTTTGAGGCCCTAAACTTTTAAAAGATGGCAGCGCTGAATTATGTACTTCAGACAGGAAGCCAGGAAGGCACAATTGAAAGTGCCCATTCCTTTGACAAATTAGAAGCATTCATTCCAATATCTATTCCTTGTTTACTGGGGATAATGCCAAATGAATCACAAACTTGTGGATGGATGTCACTTCCAACACTTTTAATTAGCAGGATGGCCTATTAGGATGAACAGAGTGTTGCTTTTCTGTCATAGATTACCCACCCCCCCTTAAACAGAACAGAAATCTTATTCTCCACAAGGTAATATTCATCTCTTCCCCAGCCAGACAAGCATAGAAAATTAAACAATGGTCCGTTAAAAAGCCTGGATAATGTATTTATCATTTCCAGTTTATGGGAGTTTGCAAGGCAAATACAAGTGGGAGCTATTTGTTATGGGACCTTGGGGAGCAAGGGAACTGGAGAAGGGGTGGAGAAGCTGGAGGATCTGAGACTTGAAAAAATTCATTAAAATATGAGATGCTATTGGAGACAGAGGAAATTAATTACTCTGAGGGACTCAAATGTCACTACTCATTTAAGTGACCTGGTGAGGAGGCTGAGGAACTTTTTTTTTGAGGGTTTCTGCAGTGGAGAAGGCAAGGAGCTGGGATTCCTCAGCTGTGAACTTTTACATTTCTTTGGTGATTAATTGACACTTTAAGCTCACAGGGGCCCCAGCCTCCTCTAATGAATAGAGTCTAATGGGGGTATGGAGCATGGGGGAGAACTGTCCCCCCTCCCTGAGTGTATTGACCAGGTTATTCAGAAGAGCTCACCAGGCATGTAAGCAACTGCAGGACCAGACCTAGAAGCCTGTAATTTACCACAACGGAGAGAAGAGGCTGATCATTTGAATGGGGACTGAGTTTGGTCTATTACTATTGCTTTTCTACCACAAAGCTGTTCTCTGAGGTGGAGTGAATTTGGAAAGACAAATTAAGGTTTTCCACCTAAAGAGGACTGGGGAGCAGTACCTTCTGAAAACAGTCATCTTTTCTGGGTTGCCTGTCTAATAAATCTCTCTAATGCATTCTGCCTATAGACAGAGGTTGAAAATATATAGATATGTGATGACTTAAAAGTTTAAAATCCGTAAATGCCCAGAGTAATAGAGTAAAATTTTTCTCATATGTGTGCCTCTCTTACACTTAGGATTTCAAGGTTTTATTCTGAACTCTACCACTAACTGCCTGTGAGGTTCAGTGCAAGTCACAGTAGTGTTCTGAGCCTCACACCATGTTATTTACAAAGTGAAAACAAGAGTCCCACCTTCTGTGATTGTTAAGAAGATTAGTATTGCACAAAAGAGATTGGAAGGATGGAAAATAACATACTGGTGTGAAGTACCAGCATCACCTATTGGTTTATTGTGTTCTAAAAGTCTTGGTATTTATATATTGAGGCAGCTCCATGGTGTGTGCCTTCTTGGATCAAGGCTAAGAGGCTCTGCAGAATTCTCCTGGCTTGTTCTATCAGAAATGGGTAATCCACACATCAGAGAAGGAAGAACAAATGTCATCCTGAGAACTTCTCTTGGGAGAGACTATCACATGGATTGGGGAAAAAAATGTTTCTGAAGCACAGCTTTGGTGGGGGCTGGAGTATTGGATGTTCACCTAAGGGAGCTTTCCTAAGGAGTTACCCATTTACAATTGGAAAAATTCTATCCCTTTGAAGTGAAGACAAATCATGAATTGAAGGTGGTGGGGGAATGCTTGAAGGTCATTCAAATGTTCCCAGGAAAAGTTAAGGATAAAGTGAACTGAGACAATGTCTATGGAAATGGAGAAGAGGGCACTTTGAAAGGCCTTTGAGAGGATTTCAGGCTTAAGTAGCTGGGGACTAGAGAGTACAGTACAGTGGCTCTAAGCTTTAGAGCAATCCTGAGTGCTTGTAATTTCATAATGAAAACCTGTGGGAAAATGCAGGATACGATCCTGCCCCTGAAGGAGCTCAGAGAGGTAAACAAGTAATTGTAATACAAACCAAAAAACCAAACCAAACTGCCATCCAGTCAAGTCTACTCATGATGACCCCTCCTTGGGTTTCCAAGGCAGTAACTCTACTTAAGTAGATTGTCCAGTCTTCCTTCTGAGGAGTGGCTGGTGGGTTTGAACTGCCAGCCACTGGTTAGCAGTCAGATGCCTTAGGCACTACACTACCAGAGCTCCTAATTGTAATACAAGGCAGATGAAAATAAGACCAGAAGAGCAATATTTGGAAATGTGCTGAGAGGAAGGGTGCCGATTGAGCTGGACCACAAAGGATGAGCTGTGCTGTGCTGGGTAAGAAGCAGTTAGAGGGAAGACACTGCATGCAAGAGCAGCCTACTCACAGCAGTGCAGCAGACCCGTAGCTTCAGAGTGCAACGAAGATGCTGGTTTGAGAGGTGTGCACCTGGCATGTTACATTTCTTTAGCAACCACAGAGTTTTGTGCAGCAACAGGCACTCAGTGATTTTCAAAGGCTTCTGTGCTGTTGCAGTTTCCCAGAAGTGGACTTAGGGGATTGCTTCCCTGTCCTCATTAGCCCACACTGTAGTGGCCGGGGCCAGAGCTGTCCAGAGAAGGCCCAGACCACAGCCCCTGGGACTCACTTCTGAATAATTGCTAAAGCTTCTGTCACAATTCCCTCATGCTTTTTGGAGCTTTTTTGCCACTTACCTTTTAAAATTGCTTAGAAGTCTTCCATTGTTGTATCTGACATGTTGTCTGTTTATTGTCCTAATTTAGATGTTTCCACCTTTATATTCATTTATATTCATTTACAATCTTTTTAGGAGAGACATTCTGCATTCCAACTGGGGTAATAATATAGTAAGAAAGCAGGAATTTTTTTCCCACTTCATTCATTGCTTCCGTGCCCTCTTCCTTTATGCCTCCTTGTTGTTGCTGTTGTTGTTTTTATTCCCCTCAGATTTCTTCTGTTCATCCTTGTACTTTCCACTGTTTTTGTCATAGAATAACACATTCTATTAGAATAAAGTACAGGATCAACTGTAAAAACTTTGAGAAGGTTCTTAACCATATGATAATTCCTCATCTGTGTTACTTTTTGGTGGTAGTGGTTGTTGTGTGCCATCGAGTCGGACCCGACTCATAGTGACCCCTCCTTGGGTTTCCGAGGCAGTATCACTACGGAAGTAGATTGCCCCATCTTCCTTCCGAGGAGTGGCTGGTGGGTTTGAACTGCCAGCCTTCTGGTTAGCAGTCAAGTGCCTTAGCTACTATGCTACCAGAGCTCCTTACTTTTTGGTAGTGGTATTGTTTTTCAAGAATGAGTGCCCTGGGTTTAAATTACTGCTCCAACACAAGGTAGCTGTCTGACATAAAGTAAATCCATCTCTTTGAGCTTTACCTTTCACATCAGTAAAATTAAGATGACAGTAACATTTTCTATAAGGAATTATTTTAAGAATTAAATGACATATGCATGGGAAAGGATCTGTCATATAATAAATGTTCAATGAATAATATTATGCCTATAATAATGTTGTTGTAGGAGCTCTGGTAACGTAGTGCCTAAGGCACTTGACTGCTAACCAAAAGGCTGGCAGTTCAAACCCACCAGCCGCTCCTCAGAAGGAAGATGGCGCAATCTACTTCCATAATGATACTGCCTCGGAAACCCAAGGAGGGGTTGCTATGAGTCAGGTCTGACTCGATGGCACACATAACAACAACAATGTTGTTGTTAATTGTCATGCCCCTAACTCATGGCAACCCCATACATAGTGGGGTGAGAAACCACCCTGCTCAGTCCTGCCCGATCCCCATGATCACTTGCAGACTGAACCACAGTGATCTATAGGATTTTCGTTGGCTGATTTTTGGAAGCACATCACCAGGCCTTTTTCCCAATTCTGTTCTAGTCTGGAAGCACTATTGAAACATCATAGCATCATAGTAACATGCAAGCCTCCACTGATAGACAGGTAGTATCTGCACAGGAGGTTCATTGGTGGGAACTGAACCCAGTTCTCCCACATGGAAAGAATTTTAACCTGAACTACCAGTGCACTCCATAATAACAGTCAATTCCAACTCATAGCGACCTCCATTGGGTTTCCAAGGCTATAAATCTTTATGGAAGTAGATTGCCCCATTGTCCTTCCATGAAGCATGTGGTAGGTTTGAACTTCTGTCTGACCTTGTGGTTAGCAGCCAAATGCCTTTCTCATAAATCCACCACAGCTCCTTTTATTAAAAATCCTTAACATACAAAGACCAGATGTGCTGGTCTTCAGCAACAAGGACAGGAGGAGCTGGGGAGACATTTTCCCACTGTATGGCCAGTCCAGAAAAATGAAATATTAAGGGACCCAGCACTGAGAGTGACTAAATCCCTGGGTGCACAGGGAGCCCACTGGCCCAAGAGTGACCTGAGTGCTGAATAGTCAGAAAGCCCATCAGGTTTCCTGATCTTGTGCTGGGCCTGAAGAGCATCTAAGTCAACCCTCTCCTTGA